TGTTACATAGCACGAACAGCTGCAATGCGTCAAACTCAACATTTGTTTGTGCATTATAGAGATGCACCTGTAGGTCGCCTGTTATCCACCAGCGCTTGTAACACTGGATGTGTGATGCCATTTCTGAAGCCTACAGAGCATCAGATTTAGAGCTTCCTGTCAACCTTAGAGCACACTCGACCAGGGGTATTGCATCTTCGACTGCTTTGCATAATGGTATGTCAATGCAGGACATTTGCACTGCGGCCGCTTGGTCAACACCCTGCTCATTTATTCGTTTCTATTTACGTGATGTGACAGTTCGTTCCATGACACATTCTGTACTTAATGCTCTAACAGAATGAATATTACTGTTTTCATGGAACCCCGTTTAAACTCACTATTTGGTTCTATTGTCACTAATCAGTTCATGACTATTGTTACCAATAAGTTCATTTGATTATAATCAGTTCACTTGTTATTATTAATCTGTTCATACTGTTCAGCTGTGAATCAGTTGGTTCATGTCCCCCTTTTTCAACATCTTCCCTCCCTGTTGAAAGTTTTCTGGGGCGTTCATGCTTTTCAGAATGCATAGTTACACAGCATGCGTCTGTGCATGGTACACATAATTACGCAATGCGTAATTACGTACATGGGGAGCTGAGTGACAAGACATTTTTTGGGCAAGCTTCTGCTTCTTACGGTGTTCGAATGGACCCAGTGAGGCGAGGACAACATCCGCTTCGCCCTTAACCCACTAAGCGACAGCCTTAAAGGGCGAAGCCTATATGAAATAGAACGTTGGTTACGTACTGTAACCCCAGATTCTATGAATATAGGCGTAGCCCTTTAAGCATTGGGCCTCACTGTCTCCTAAATGGCTGAAGAAAAAAGCTATTTGGGAGCTGATTACACGCTCTTAATGTAACTTATACGGACCGGGTGAGGCCCACACAGCAGGTGGGCGTGGACTAAACTTTTCAGTGTAATGCTTCGCATAACGGGATAAAACCCACTAAGCGACAACCTTAAAGGGCGAAGCCTATATTCATAGAATCTGGGGTTACAGTACGTAACCAACGATTCATGACTTCACTTAAGCCCCACCTACTCAGAGAAAAAACTCTAGATTATTGGATGACACTTCCAGCTTTGCTCTGTGTAAGATACGAGACTGAAACTTTGTTCACTAACTGTTGATTATCACACATGACATGTTGAAAAGCATAAAGGAAGTGATTGTCAAACATGCATCATAAAACAGGAAGTCACCATAACTCCTGTCTGGAAGGTCAGACTTCGCCTATACTTGTAAAACCTAGAGCTGGACAAGTAACCACATGGACAGAAGGTGATATCGAGGATTCGGGAAATGCGCCCAGTGGTGAAGGCGTGCGAGATTGGCATGACAGCGTTCGCGATGGCGACTGGGTGGACTAGCTGGAGCACACACAGTCGCCGTAAGGCCGGAAAAGCGCTTTGCTGTGAGGGCCTCCAATGCTGCTTGCAGCTTTAATTTAAATTGAAATGCTCCCTCTTTGACACCATTGACCTAATCAGGATGATCCTGTGTTAGAAGACAGATAAAATGGTCTGACTTGATTTAAAGTGCAAACAGTTTTTGCTTGAGGATATGGGCGTGGCGGCGTGGCAAATTAAGAAGTGATGCCGTTGCAATACGTTTGGCTCTAAGTTGCACAGATTTCAGCCGGGGTGCAAGAAAATCACTATGATCGACCATGATCCGCCCCTTGAACAGGTATCCATGATAAGTGGCCAATAGCCTCCACAGCACAACCTACATTTTTCCTACAGTTATAGCTCAGTGATACAACATCCGATTTGCACCAGATTTATTGTGCGTCATCAGTGAGGACTTTTAGACACATTGATATTGTGGTTTAACATATGACTCTAGTGCGCCCCCTAGATTATTCCAACAGTTAGATCTCAATGATACATAATCCTATCCGCACCAGATTTTTGGTGCGTAATCTGTGAGCATTTTTAGACACATTGGTATTGTTGTTTAACATATGACTTAAGTACGCCCCCTAGATTAGTCAAAATATTATATCTCAATGATATATTAACCAATCTGCACCAGATTTTTTGGGTGTGATCAGTGAGCACTTCTATATACATTTGTGTTGTTATTTAACATTTGACTTGAGTGCGCCCCCTAGATTATTCCAAAAGTTATTTCTCAGTGATATATCATCTGATCTGAACCAGATTTTGGGTGCGTCATAAGTGAACACTTATAGATACATTGGTATTGTTTTTTAACTTTTGACTCAAGTGCACCCCCTAGATTATTCTAACTGTTATATCTCAGTGAAACATCATCCAATATGTACCAGATGTATTGTACATGATCAGTGAGCACTTATAGACACATTGATATTGTTCTTTAACATTTGACTCAAGTGCGCCCCCCTCATTATTCCAACAGTTATATCTCAGTGAAGCATCATCCGATCGGAACCAGATTATTTGTGCATAATCAACGAGCACGTCTAGACACATTGATATTGTGGTTTAACATATGAGTCAAGTTCACCCCCTAGATTATTTAATCAGTTATATCTCAGTGATATATCATCCGATCTAGGCCAGATTTTTGGTGGGTCATTAGTGTCCACTTCTAGACACTCTGGTATTGTTGTTTAACTTTTGACTCCAGTGCGCCCCCTAGATTATTCCAACAGTTATATCTCAGTGAAATATCATCCAATATGTACCAGATTTATTGTACGTGACCAGTCAGCACTTATAGACACATTGATATTGTTCAACATTTGACTCAAGTTAGCCACCTACATTATTCCATCAGTTATATCTCAATGATATATGATCTGATCTAAATCAGATTTCTTTATGCTTCATCAGTGAACATTTGTAGACACACTGGTATTGATGATTCATGACTTGACTTAAGCACGGCCCACTCGGAGAAGAAACTGATGATTATTGGGTGACTCTTCCAGCTTGGCACTGCGTAAGATATAATTCTGAAACCGTATTCGCTAACTGTTCATTACCACATGTTGAAAAGCCTCAAGGAAGTCCTTTACATTCACACCATAACAGGAAGTGACAATAAGTCCTGTCTGGAAGGTTGGATTTTAGCCAAACTTGTAAGGCTTGCAGCCAGACTCATACTGATATGGGCGGAAGGTGATTGCAAAAATTCAGCATATGCGCACCCTTGTGGACTCATGCGGGAATGGCATGAGAGCATTCGCGATGGCGACTGGGAGGCATTGCTGGAGCTCCTGCAGTCGCAGGTGATGTCGCAGGTGATGTCGAAGGTTCGGCAAATGCGCAACCTGTTGAACGAGCAGGGGACGGACATGAAAGCGTTTTCAATAGTGACTGGGCAGAGTCGTTGGATCTCCCGCGGTCGCCGTAAGGCCGGAGCGGCGCTTTGCTGCGAGGGCCTTCAATGCTGCTTGCAGCTTTAATTCTCTTTATTCTTGATGTTATAGTCACTTGGGATTGCTAAATCTATCACCACTGTCTTCTTCTCTTGCTTGTCGACCACCATAATTGGTTAGCCATCACCTGTTTGTCGGGTTGAATCTGGAAGTCAAACAGTATCTTAGTCCTTACATTCTCCACCATCCTTGTTGGCATCTCCCACCTTGACTATGGGACCTAGTACTTGGTACAGATGTCCCTGTATATCATTCTAGCCACTTGGTTATGGTGTTCCATGTACCATATTTTTTGGACTATA